GGCGCGGGAACTACTTTTAGATGGGGGGGGGAGGTCACACCATGATAGAGATCAACCTAGGATCCCCCAAATATAGTTTTCTCGCCGGTTTTAGGCCACTTATTTTTCATCCCTTGGCTTTTTCAACAAAAAAAAGAAAACATTTGCAAAAAGGAGCGGTATTCTGTCTGAAAGTTGTGGGGGCACCGCCCGCACGGCCCCAGAGTTGGGGGGGGGGGGGGCAAGCTGCCACCACTGCCCCCTCCCCCCGGTTCCCGCGCCTATGGAGAAACTACCGGGTTTACTAGCTTCCTTCATAAAGTGTCGTCATGTCTTATCGTCACCCGAGAAGGTCTTATTGCATAAATATCGATTGAGCTGTCAAGTTAACAAACTTGCTGTGGCAGCCTGACCTGACATGACCCGGCAACTTTTCATTCACGGAATATGCGCAATAAATTTTTTAGGAAAACTCACTGAGTTTTCGTTGAAAAAACTTGTTTTGTTTCGTAATTGTACAAGAAGCATATGAGGGACCTTTTTGTCCCTTCCTGCGAAACGGTAAAAGACTTATTTCGGTCACAGCTCAGGCCAATCTCTAAGGGTCAGTCGGGTCACTTATTTCTTAAAAGGGTCCTTACGGCATCCAAGGACCAATTCCGGCTTTTGAGTGCGCCACATCAGCATTTGATGCTACGACAGATGTCGAAATCTGAATATATGTTACAGGCCGTATGAAAATTCGGTCCGTTTGCAAACGGCCTGGCCCAGTCAGGCCATATGAATTATGAAACTACCTGAAAACACCGGCCGTTTGCAAACTATGACCTGAAATATCAGACCGTTTGAAAACGACCTAGTTAGTTTCGGCCTAGCGGATCCAGGGGGGCCACGGGGTCATGCCCCCAAGCCTGAAAGGGGAACAACATATATTTTTTGTCCCCAAAAACACTTAAGAAAAATGAATGTGAGAAGGGCGTAGTAGGTAGAGAGAAAATACCGTATCATTAAAAATCTGTGAGCTTGATAAAAGTGTTGGTCTTGTCTTCACCCAAGAAGTTCTTATTGCACACTTTAACCATGGATGAAAGAACCTTCATCCCCTGGTTCTCCTTCATCCATGCTTTAAAGGGACTATCCCACCTTCTAAAATGTTGTTAAAACCAGTTAAATTGTGCCCGACTTTATAGATTGGATGACCAGGAACACGGTTCTGGCATTTATTTTTCATTAAACATCTTAAGCTTCCCATATTCCAAACACAAACTTTCAAATATGTGACGTCACAGCCCAAAATTACCTCCTTCCCCAGGCCACATTACTGTCATAAAGCTGATTCTTTTTACTCTGTAGGCACCACAACAAAGTTCAGACCAGGTTTTAAGCGATTTGTCAACGAACAAACCCATTTAAATCAGAATGACTAAACGAGGTGACGTCACACTAACGGTCGCTCCATGTTGAAGATAGGGCCTTGTACAAGGCCCATTTTCAAATGAAGGGAACGAATTTCTTCAACACCAAGAGGCCGCGGGGGTTGCAACCTAGATAGATAGTGGTTTCTGAACCTCGCCGCAAACTTGGCTATCTCAACTCAAACCCCATGTTAAAGGTGGGATAGTCCCTTTAACTCTCGATCGACGTGTGAAGTTATCGTGTAAGGTATCATGAAGCCGATCGCGACGAAACTTTAGTACCCTCATGGTGACAAAGTCTGAAAATTTCATGACCCTGACCCAAGTGAACTTTGACTTGTGGCACATTTCTCGAGACTGTTTGGCCATGTTGGAGGCCATGTTTGGCCGGAATAGCGATTCGGCGTATGTCGGCTCACATTATCCGCGCTTTTATAGTCTTTTCGTGGTTTAAAACGCTCAAACATGTGATATGATGTTGCTCCCACGCATTAGGGCGGATGCCAATGTCACCTTACGGTCAAGTCAGGTCATTGACCTTTGATGACCTCGGTGCACTTTTCCGAGTTTAACATGTTTCTAGGATAGTTTCGTTTAGCTGATTTTGAATTTAGCATTTTGCAACCATTTGAACATTTACGAAGTAGTTTTGATGCCTTCGTATCATGTTACGTAGCTGCCAGTGGTAGTGGACACCTGCTATACGGACGCCCATAAGTACTCCTACTGGTTGATCTGACCTGACCTGCCCCGACATGGTCTAAACGCATGAAGACATTATCTATGATCCAAACTAACATGAAATTTGTGATCAGCACAAAAAAAACGTATTACAGCCTTACTTTAGGAGGTTCTGACAGGTCCTGATTTTCCCGTCTTTTGGGTCTGTGACCTGACCTGGGCGGTGTTTCACGGCACGCTGCCAGCCGCTGCCAGCGCTGATGGCACTTTTGGTTTCAATGGAGACATCAACAAGCCTATACCCACAACACTACCGAAGGCTGACCTTAGCTCGCGGAATGCGCTGTCAGCGGCTGTCAGCACGACCGTGAAACACCGCCCTGGAAGGTCAACCAATGACCAAGGACCTTAAAATCGGGTATCATCGGCTTCGTCTCGTCACTCACGGGCAACACGCCTGTTTTTTTTTCCGCGAGCTCTAGCTTAATCAGGGGCCGAACGGCAGGGGGTCCAACCGACACCTCCCAGCCCGCGAAGGCTGCGCCACGCACCGACCCGGAGCGGGCTAATTGGTCGACAAAAGCAATTTGAAGTGTTTTCAAAGTAATATTTAGGCTCGGGTTGGGTGGGCTACCATTTCTATTTTTTTTATTTTTAGTTTAAAAAAAAATATCGTTTCAGGGCTGTGACGAAAAAATAAGTGGCCTAAATCCGATGAGAAAACAGGATTTGGGGGTACCCTAGGTTTGGTTACTTGCAGGAGTTGGCCCCCCCCAAAACGCAAGTCTGGATCCGCCAGTGAAGTTGAAACGTAAATGACAGGTTCATCGAGGCCTGAGCCATCCACAGCGTTGTGCATGTGACTTAACACGAGCGCACATGCACATTGTGCGTGCATATATTCAGCTCTCACCATGTACACACTGCTGACGGCTGCATGCAACAGTGCACTGTGCACACTGTCGCCCGCTCACTGTGCACAGTCACGCCAGCCGGCAACACAGTCGTAATGCGGCTCCGAGCTGAGTGACGCACTGGCAGAGGACGCTGCAGGAGCAATTATTGTCACATTAACTGACCGTTTGCCGCACGCGAACCCGGCTCTAATGGCTGCAGCGGGCGCCGAGCGCCGTGGAGTTGTATACGCTGGGCAAACACGATAAGGGTCCTAAATGGTCGTCCACTTGAAGAAAAGCTTGGTCGTTCTGTTTGATAATGAATCGAAAACATGAACTATGAAGTATGCCATTGGTCACTTTTAACCACTTGTTTCGGTAGCAAAGTTGTTGTTTTTAGTTAATTGTGCACTTTCTATTTGTGAAGCTGAAGAGTACCTAGATAACTTACTTTGATGACGCCTATGCATTGTTTACAAATTACTAGTACTAGTTACTAGTACATGATAACTGATGAAACTTGGAAGTAATTAAAAAATAAACCCCACTTATAAGTGGGGTTTATTTTTTAATTTGTGCTTTTTTAATTATGTGATCATCAGACACTCTGAGTGACGCTCTGATTGTCTGCCGGCGTTGACGCAGAACTCGGGGGACCCCAGGCACCTCCTTGGGGAAGCCTGTCAACGGTGGCCGGTCAGTTGTCACAAGGATGTGGGGCTTGACCCGAAGACGCCCCGGGCACGTATCGCCCGGCGATGACAGGCTTCTCGGCAACTTTTTCCAACTGACTGTCACGCCAAGGAGCGTGTGACGAAAAAAATGTCAACGGGTACAGGGAATTGAAAAAGCTGAAACAGACGTCTTCGTAACTTCTGGTAGATTGCTGAATTGGCTTTGAATTGAACATACAAATTAACTGAGTAATATATTGTCAGAGGCACATTTTCATTTCAATGCGTACCTATTGCACGCATTGCAAATGAATGTTCGGTAGTACTTAAACTATGTCGTATAGGCGGTATAGGCAATTAATCAAGCGCATACAAAGTGATTTTTATGTGTTTTTTGAGTGTTTAGTGGGTCCTACTATCAATGACAAAGTAAAACAACAAGCGAAGCATGTACTTATTCCTAGATGATTCGCTAACATGACACTTAAGTGTGTTTTTGTTTTGTGCAGCTGCCTTTTCCATGCTGTACCATGTCAGATATAATACTACCGTTTGCTTGGGAGATTCGTCTTTGGATGTAGTGTATTTAAAAAAAGCTTTATGCAGTTCATGCAATGTGTGTATACTTGCAGTAGGAAAACATCTTATCGAGGTAGGTAGGTATGGGAAAACTTTCAACTACAAGACATAATCTGTGCCTGACTATGAACAGAAGCTTGTTAAGACGAATTTTATGCATCTAACAAAACGAACATGTTTATGCTACGCTTCAGAATAGACCCCGAATGAGGCTTAGAACAAAGGAGACGATATGTCATGCATTCTTTTGACTTCACGATTCGGTGGAACTAAGTACCTATGCTTGAACAAATACATGATGATTGGACAGCTTTGTGACTAACGTTGCGATGGCTTTGTCTTATCAGAAAAGGGAAACAAAGCTAGTTGACGGAGCTATCAAACAAGTAGCAGAATTTGCTACCTAAAGGCGATGCCACTGGAACCAACACCAGTGCAATTTTTTTTATTGCCAATAGTTCTGCTACTGTGCTACCGCCGCGCTGATTAATTGTAATGGCTACCGTGTAAGACACTGTGCTGTGGTTAGTTGTATAGCTATAGCATCATGTTTTTGTGCGCTGAAGTGATTCTTCCTACTGATATTGCCAACGTTAATCAAACTATTCAATAAAGTGACTGTTAATATCGTGACAAGTTCCAATGCACTTATTACGAGTACGTTGGTTATGTATGTGAATACCTGCGAGTGTGCTTGTTGCGCAAGCCACTTGCCCCGGTATCAAAGGCGTCTACGGAAGCTCTGACCTCTAATGACCTTTTGTTGACCTTTTCAGGCACCTGGACAGCCGGGACAGCCGTTCAAGTTTACTGTCTCAGACTCGTGTGACCGAATTAAAGAAGAGTTCTCATTTCTGCAGGCGCAATATCACAAGTAAGTGCCGTTGCCCTTCCCCGACGACAGCGGCGACATTTCACGCGATTTCGGTGCGTTTCCCAGCCGTAAAACGTCCGTTTCAAGTTCTCAGTTCGTGGTCACTGCACTGTAGCGGCTAGCGCAACGGGCTAATGACTCGGGTTTGTGACTAGGTTTTTCAACAGGTCGGTTTCCGCTGTGAGCTGATTTGCCGACTCATCGAACCATGTCATGGCGCGTTTTTCGAACAGTCGTGCCCGCAACTAAACTCGACGCGTAGACCACCTCGGTGGCAGCGGGCCGATTCAAGCGGCCCTGTTGGTGGGTGTAACCGCAATCGCCGGCTCCACTCGACATTGTGTCGGCCGGTCCACTTGTGTTTGATGAGCTCATCCGGCCTTCGGCGCAGATTTCCTGTCGGTAGATACTAGATAACTGAACTGGCCGACGGCAGGCCTGTTTTGCCGGCCTGTTGGAGCTACCCGCATATAGCTGTTACAAACCCTCGCCAGTAACCCAAGCGGCTTTAGCTCTCTATTGTGTGTCCCCCTTGATCCGCCAGCAGCGTCCCTCACTGCGGATCATCAGCTGATGGTGCACGTGCGGGAGTGGCCAGGAAGGGGGGGGGGGTGTTTATCAAAGCACGCCGCCGCCGGGGCGCCTGACCCCGTGACCTCACCCGTTCGGTGGTTCTCAAACCGCGCCATATCGGCAGTGTACCGCTCACAAGCGCACGTGTGTTTGCTGATTACCCTTCCTAATTATCGGCGCTGTCGGTGGCAGTGTCGACCCTAATATCGATCTCTGTCCTACCGTCCCTCCCCTCTCTCTCTCCCTCCGCAACTCTCTCCTCCATCCGATGATCGACCGCCGGCGGTGACAGCCGTGCGGCCCTTTGTGTAACCCGAACGGGCCCGGCGCCCCGCCACCACATTAGCGTCCAAGTGTCTGTGAGCACCGCCCCGGGGGCCGACCGTTGTCGCCTGTGGTTCGCCGCCCGAGCCGCGGTCATCCATCAACACAGCCGGTGTTTAGCGAACGCCTCGCAACCAAAGTGACTCGTTAATCACGAGACGCGACCCGTCCGCTGGAAACCGCCGACTGTCCGATATTAGAGTAACTAATCGAGAAGCTGCAGCGGACATTATGAGACAGATTTTCTGCGGTTCGGTTGAAAACTGCTGGGTGTGTTGGCGGCCTATGACGGCCTTGGAGGTGCCGTCGGCGTCTGAGGCTTTTCCTTAGATGACAGTGTGTTTGTAACTGTGTCTCATGCATAGTCACCACGTGTTTCCTTCTTTCCCTTGCGATTTGTGTTAAATTTAGTAACACGTTCACAGTGTACACCTTTTTGCGTTGTTCGATGGCCAATCGTGATAACCATTTCGGCATCAGTTTGGACAAGCGTCATTCAGAATAACCCATCGGCGATGTGCATCACTGTTAGACAGTCGGCAAAACAGGCTGGACTCCATTTAACCATTCTACACAACTCTTTGTCATTGAGCACAATGTTCGTCATAGGCAAAACACTTTGTCAGATTGTCATAATGCTTCGACATTTCACAAAATGGTTAGTCGATGTGCAAAATTCATCGGTACTGTGCGTAAACAATGACTGTTTATTTAAAACTTTCGTCAATGATCAAAATGTCAACGATGTAGTGCTTATCTAGCCATATTCAATGTTTAACGTTAATCACGCATTCAGGGATGAAGCTTATGACAGTTCCAGCGCAATTTGCAACCAATTAACCATTGAATTCCGAAAAAGGCAGTTATACCATAGCTACGAGGAGACTGCCGGCGCCATACCGAGTAGGCATGTAGAGTCTCATGTGTGCTTGTGTGTGACAACACTCCCACGGGTCTTGAGGGAATTATTTTCCTCTCCCAAGACTGAGCTGTCAGAAAAGCCGGTGCAAGTTTGCGCCAATCCGAGGAAATAGCTCCAGCTGTTTTTGGCATGTTGGCCTCAGAGACAACGTTGTCGTTTTGTGCTGCAAATTTTATGCCATAAGCGCATTTCGCCCTCAGGTCGTTTTGCTCGCTTCAGCCGGAATTATTAGACATTTTAGTTATGGTATATCTGTTAAACAGATAATCACATTTTGTCCAAAGCATTACTTTCGACAATACTGGTAAAATTACGGCAAGTGTAGAAGCTTATGACCAACCCAACAACCGTCATCTCAGATGTTTTAACGCTGGATTTCCCTGCTACAAATAATGTGCCCATGACAAGGTTTGATCCGTGTCATACACCGTACGTTCGTGATGCTGGCTTCCGACTTGTGTCATTACCGAATTCCACTGCGCCGGCTCGTAAACCAACCACACGATTCGGCGATACATGTGTCGCAGGTGAGCTCACCAGCAAGACAGGAGGATTAGTGTCACCATTTTGTAACAATCGTATTATCCTCGTGGTGCGGTGTCGACGGCGATTCGTTTATTCGTCAGACATGAATCGCCGCCGTCGGCAAGGCTGTTTAGGGCTGGCTACATGGGCTATAGGGGAAAGGTTGCCGAATGTTTTACCACTCTGGGAAAATATGTGATTCTTGCTTTATGACAATGACTTTGGCTGTCAAGGACTTTGAAGGAGCCCCGCCGCAGAAAAGGAACTGGAACATATTATGCGCTTTATAGGATCCCGAACGGTGGATAGAAACTGTTGGAACTGAATTGCAGGTAAATCGCATCTAAACCGTAATGAACAATTTGTCAATTGTGTGATAGACCAAAAATTTTAGGCACTATGTTCCCTATAGCATCTAGCTTAGCACCATACACGATGCTAAATGTACATTTGCACTGCACTGTCATCTACATTTTTCTCAAGTTGAACGAGCGGCCACAATACATTGCGCTGTACGCTGGCTAGCATTGATCGGATGTTAACTGGGGACTCTAGAGTCGCTTCTGGAGTCTGGAGTTCCCAAGGACTCCAGTCGACTGGGGACTATATAGTCGACTGGGAACTATAAAGTCGACTGAGGGCTCCAGAGCAACTCTTTTTGCCCGAATCTTTCACAATATCCGGTATTCAGTGATGCAGAAATTGCGTTCGGTAGACGACCATGTAATGGTGATTTCGTCGTTGTCATTTTTTTTTCATCGGGTTGGACAAGGAATATTTTTAGTGATGAACGATTGGCTTTGAACTTAACTTAACTCCCGTTTTGTGAGCTAAATGAGCGGGGATCGCAGTGTATCCCCGGGTGTCGTTTCCTGTAGATCAACATTAGACATGTCGTCACTGTCCCACGTCGGTTAAACCCACCTGGTTTTCCAGGACAAACTCTGCTGTTCGTTCTTAAAACTCAGATTCAGCGGGATCCGATTTCGAACAAAGATACACGACTGATCTTCTTGTCCATGTTATCTTCCTATCATTATCACATTATCCTCATTTTATCATCATGTTTAACTACCACAAAGCTGGTACTTTCGTGTCCAGCTTGTCCGTCGCTTACGACTCAGGAAAATCGCGATGTTAACCGATATTTAAGTCTAATCTGATGCTTTTACACGAAGTGTGACTTCAAGAGGAAATCGTCTTTTTTTCGGCGCTGCAGCTGCGCTCAAAGTGACGCTCGTGTCTTAGGTTAGGTCGTCGAAATGCGCTTTCGAGCCAGCTTTATTGCTTGCAAAAAGGACACGTGGCAGCTAATTGCTCATTATTAATTGCTTGGTCATCATGCGCAGCACCAGCGCATCCCCGGTGACTGCACCGTTTACGATGAACTATATTCGCTCCGACCGCTAACAGACAAAAGCCCGCTCAACTCGACATCAAGTCACCAAATGATTTGCATTGACACCGATATGAATACCCTCAACTACATACCGGGTACCTTTGTCAACCCTATACGCTCAATTCCTATATTCCTCCCACTCCCGTAACCCAGGCACGTTATAGGCACACCCACCACCGCCCCCACGGCATATGAAAGCCACTGTGGCCTGGGTAACAGGCACGTAAGTCGATAGCATCCATATTTGAACACCGTATTTACCCTGAATAAACTATAAGGTGGCACGTGCTTTTTGTACCACACCGCAGCGAACGCATGGGACAACGGGTGCCTGAACACGCCCCATTGCGTGGATGGTCAATAAGGGCGAGTTTTTCAGGTATACAGGAGAAGCGCTCGCCCTTATTGGTGGCGTTTGGCTTAGTATAGGCGGTGCCACTAAGGCTCAATAATGGGGATCTGTAGATCCAGCCGCGTCACTCAGGCTGTGGCCACTAACTAATGCGATATGAATGGAAACCATAGCGGCCCCAGGGTAGTGACCGAGTATGATTTACCTCCAGAAATAATTCGGTAGAGGAGGTTAATGGTGACTCCTGGCGGATGAATTAGCGAGAATTGTAAAACTAGAGTGAAAGCTGATTGCAACAGCTTCATTAGCAAGCGTCGCCACTTTTCCTGCGATAATTGGCCAGCTCAAGTTCTTAGTCAGAGGCAGACGTCAGGCTGTTTTATCCACGGACACACTGCTCGGCTTTGAATATCCTTATCACTTATCATTATGCATATTTTCGTCTGCACACCGAATTGCGTCCAGGATATTGGCCATGGCGTATTTCTCGGGAACCCTCTGTTAGTGGAAATTCCACTATCTGGCAACTAGCCCTATGTAAACGCGGCTATTGTTTTCCTATCGATCTCTCGGCTAACCAAAACTGTACGACGTAGGTTTATTCATTTTGTGCTTACTTTCGGAGCAAAATCTAATCGTAACTGACCTGTGCAGGTAATAAGTAAGAGTATCCGCTATTTTTGTCACCTCTCCTATCATATATGTCTTCCATATTGCCGTGTCTCTTTGCCTTTGGGTTGCATTTACCACAAAATGGCCGTCGCGGGTCCGCGCTGTGATTAATCGTCTGCGCCAGTAACGATCCAGCGCCGCTGTGCGTCAGCTTTGTCGCCTTTGCGGCGTCTTTGTCGTCCCTGCGCCGCCGCCTTTCGTCGGAGTCTTAGTCGGTGCCTCGCCGCTTTTTT